AAAGAGAGGAGAGCACATACAGCACACCCAGTGAAGTCCAACAGTTTGGTGTGAGCTGGGGTAGGGCTGGGGGCGGGGGGCTGAAGAGGAGCAGGGTGGCAAGAGACTAGCCAGATGACAGAGGACCTAGTGAGCCATGTCAAGGAGTTTGAACTTTATCCTGAGGGCAAAGGAGAGCCAGTAAAAGGTTTTAAGGGGAAGAGTGACACAGTCTGCTTCGTAGTTTGGAAGGATGCTTCTGGCTGCTGTGTGCAGGTTTGGAAGGAGAGACGAGAGAGAAATCTGGAGAGAGACCCCAGGTGAGAGAAGAGGCCTGGGTGGATGGGAATGGGCCTGAGCGACGATTCATCCATGTGCGGTGAAAGGATGGGAGGTTATGCTGGTAATCATGAGCCAGGACTCCTGGATTCCATGATTCCAAGACACTCTGATTCTGTGTCCAACACTCCATAATCCTTCAACACAAAATGGCTGCGGATATCACTACATGTTTACAACCCCAACCTCAAGCCTCCTGGTATCCTTCCTTTCTGAGCCTCAGCTTTTCTTGTTTGCAAAATGTGGATCATCAGCTTTCCTGTGGAGCAGACATGGGGGCGAGAGCCTGCTGAGCTGGGCGCCTGCGCAAAGTCCATTGGACGTGTTTGTCCTGAAGGCTCAACGTACAGGCATGGCCAGGAAAGAGCTGGGTCTTGGAAGAATAAGAGACTGGAATGGAGGTGCAGGGGAGGGGAGGAAGAGCCCCATTCCTGTCTGTTCCTGGTGGCCCAGGCTGCTCTAGCCTCTGGGTTTCTCCTGGGCATCTAGTACCCAGATTTGGTTGTTGGCTTCTGCACTGGCAAGTTTACCAACTGGTTATGAGTGTCCCCATTTCTCTAGCTAGCTGACCTTCCCAGCTGCCCTCCTGGACTTAAACTCCTCCCAGGATTGCAGGCACCAGCTCTGTGTAACCAGGCAGAATCTGGCCTTACATGAGCAGATCTGAGCCAGATCAAGTCTCACCAAGTTGGTGGGACCCAATCTGCTCCCACACAGCGCCCCTCTAGGCCACACTGTAGGCATCCCCTTCCTTGACGCCAACAAGAGCAGATCTTTGGAGACAGAAACTCCATCTTTCCAGAACAACATGTGATTCCCCAGAGCCCCACCTAAGCCTCATATTACCTGTGTTACAATTGCTTCTTGACAGAGTTGAACTTCAGTCCACAAAACATCCTGAACAAATTACCATGGGCAAATCTCAGAGTAGACAGGACCTTTGGAGACTAAGTCATTGCTTGGAGGAGAAAACGGGAGCCAAGAGGGCTTCGCCTGAAACCACCCAGCGTTTAGTGGAAGAGCTGGATACAGAATCCACACCAGAGTCCTCAGCTTTTTTTTTTTTTTTTTTTCACACAGTAAGGGCTCCATGAGTGCCGAGACATGAAGTGAAAGTGAAAGTGAAAGAGACACAAGTCATGTACATGTACTGAGCAGCATGTGCATTGACTTTCTGGAAGACCATGAGAGAAAGATGGCCTCCGGGAAGAGGGCCAGGTAGGTGGGGTCAGGGGTGGGAGAGAGACCTACTTACCGTTTGATGCCCTTTTGTACTTCTGGGGTGTTTTATGTCACCTAGTGCACATAGGACAGAGCCAATCAATCAAACAAACATTCACAATTCAATAAACAATTCAGTGAGCCAGACTCTTTTGTAACTCTATACCTTTGGGCACACCGTGCCCTCTGTTGAAATACCCTTTCATGGTTTTCCCCATGTGGAAAGCTAAGCATCCTCCGAGAGGTACTCGAATGCCCAGGAGTCGGGAAAGGGGCCTGTCTCTGCCTCCCTGTGCTGGTCTTTCTCCATTCGACCACCAGCTGCGTAGGCACTGTCCATCCTCCGCTCTGTCCGTCCTGCTTGGCTCCCTAGGAGGCACCATGCCTTCTGACTTCTTGCATCCAGCCAAAAGGGAGCTCAAAGGGCAGGATGAGGAGGAAGTGGTGGTATTTTCGCCTCCACCAGCCCCTCCTTGTTTCACCTTAACGTTGCCAGAGGCTACGTTTCTCCATGGCTTCAACTCCTCACTTCCTGGCTCCAGCTATCTCTGGGTCCAGTAATATTCCCTCCCTTCCGTGGCTCTTGCTATCTCTGAGCCCAGTAACATTCTTCTCTTTGGCCCCTTCAGGCCTTGGGGTACTAGCATCTCTCCTCTGTTGCCAGGCCCTGGGTGCATCACCATTCTTAGCATTCTCTTAGCCTCCCACACCTTTGTAAACACTCCTTTCTTCACACTTGCTTCAGGTGAGCCACTGGTTCTCAACTTGGGGTAATCTTGCCACCCAGGGGACATTCGATGATGTCTGAGGACATTTTTCGTTTGATGTCTGGGGGAGAGGATGCTTATGTCACGTAGAGGCACAAGATACAACTAACCATCCTACCAAGTGAGGGACAGTCTCCTACAGAGAATTACCAGCCAAATGTCAGTGGTGCAGAGATGGGGAAACCTAGATTTAAACCTTTGAGAGTCTAACTGCTGCCCGCCTGGACCCTGACAGTTCGTAGCTGAGGGTTCTAGCTTCCTGAGGCCCTTCCTGCCCTGTGATGTGACCTACTAGGTACGTCTCCTCTTAGTGATACAGAGATGAAAAGACCCAGTCTGCCTCAAGCCACCCACTGTGCAGTAGGGAGACACTTAGAGTGGAGCCCCCCAACAATCCTAAATCCTTGAGGGCAGGGTCTCTGTGTCACCACGTACTTCCGGTAGGAGGAGATCAGCAGATTCTTGCTGATTGAGCAAATAAATCCTTCAGAAATATCTTCAAACAGACAGAGGGTGGGCCAGCAGGTGGTATGGTGGGTAAGGCACTGGATCCCTCATAGTAGACTCTGCAGTTCAAGTCCTGAACCTGGCAGCTTGAAAAACATGCTGCGCATGTGTGTGTGCATGTCCAAAAATCCCAAGGGGATAATGGAGGAGAAGGGATTGCAGCATGGCCATACCCCCTAAGGGTGATTTCTTACTTTCCATCTTTCTCTATCTTTGTCTCTGTCTCTCTCCAGCCAGTGCACACACATACCCTATGGTTAAAAACCTAAATACAAATGAACCAACAGACCCAGGAACCCTGGGTGAGCTTCTCTGCAACAAAAGTCCCAGAGAAACCACCATCAAGCAAACATGTAAGGAGCGAACAGACGATCAACCCGGAGACATGGGTGGGGGGCAAGACAGAGGGCAAGTTTAACATCTCGTCTCTAAAATTAGCATAGGGGCTGATAGTGTATGGTTGAAACTGTGACCCTCCATGAGGCTGACCCACAGAGAAAGGTTCTGAGTTCATGTCTGGAAACCCCCCAGGGTGTGCCAGATTCGTGCACGCTCTTGATCCAGGGCTGGCTGAAGTTAGGGGTAGATGGTGATGTCAAGACCTATCTCTCTGTCTCTCTCTGACTTTCTCATGGAAGTAATAAATAAAATTTTAAAACATATTTAAATATACTGGTTACAGTAGCAGACCCCACCTCCCAAGATCATGGTGAGCATAAATTTAACAGAAAGCATGTTACACAGTATGTGGGGAGCACAAGATAAACAGTATCCATCAACTTTTGGGGGGAGTTGGTTGAGGAAAGGCATCAAGGTGAGGCCTGGGGAAGAGATCCGTCATCAACACAGGATTGCTTTGTGCTCCTGAGCCTCAGTTTCCCCAACTGTGAAAGACAGAAATGTGGGAAAAATTTGTGCTTTGCAGAGACTGTATCACAGGGATGTTTTAGGGGGGTTCACAACATGTATTTGAATATCGTTTCCAAAATTAAAGCTATAATTTCATAAAAGAAAAAGGTTAATATGTTAAATTACAGTGAAACATAACAGGCAGGCCTAGGGCGTCCAACTCATCCTGTTTTGCTTAGGACTTTTCCAGGGTTAGCACTGAAAGCCCCGTGTCCTGAAAACTCCCTCAGTCTGGGCAAATTGGCATGTCTGGTCGCCCTAGCAGGTAGGATGTTCAGTCGGCCCACAACAACATTGAAGATTAAAAAATAGCTAGGATGGGCCAGCAGGTGGCGTGGTGGTTGAGGTGCTGGACCCTCACATGGCCAACCAGAGTTCAAGTTCCAGACCTGGCAGCTTGCTTTCTCACTTTCTCTCTCTGGTAAGCACCCATGCCCTATAGCAATTTTTTTTAAGTGATAATAATAATAATTAATAAAGTTAAATTAATTTTTTAAATAGCTAGCATGTGTTGACTATGATGTGCCAGGTACTATTTTTAGTGATTATAAAAGTTACAGTTCGTTTCATCTTCATAAGAACCCAGTATAGTAAATGATACTACCATCTCCATCTATGCAGTGGCTCAGAGAGGTTCCATTACTGCCCAAGATCACACAGCTCCTGAGTAGTACAGCCAGGATTTGAACCCGGCCCAGAGCTCCCATATTTAACCATGACCTCTATTGCATATTTGAATTTATCTTTTGCTTTTTAATTTCCAGAGGGCATGTACTTGAGAGAGAGAGAGAGAAAGAAAACACCCTTCAATGGAGTGTGGCCATGCCACAATCCCTTCTCCATTTCTCCATCCTGTCAGGATTTGGGGCACACAGGTACCCACACTGGCATGTTTTCCAAGCCACCAGGGCTGGGATTGGAACCTTGGTCAGACATGTGAGATCTGATTTACTTATCACTAGGCAACAGGGTGGGCCCATACATGAACGTATGTTAAGACAGCTTTTAAAATGGCAATAATAATAATCATAATCATAATGCTGATAATAATGGAAATATGTTTTTAAACATTTTAAAGTAGTAACCATGGTAACAATAAAATCGCAAGCACCTGTATATGCACTACCAAGTTTAGCTGGGTGGAGAGAATGTAGTGCTAACTTGAGCTGTCAGATCACCCCATTTTGCACAGTCCTCAGAATAAAGTATATCTGGCCACCTCGGCTGAATTAAAACAAACTGAGCATGTGTGCATGAGTGCCCAAAACTCAAAGAGTTTGGAGCTTGCTTTCTCATTTTCTCTCTCTCCCTCTCTCTTCGTCTGTCTGTCTCTCTCTGGTGAGTGCATGTGCTCTATAGCAAATTTAAAACAATAGTAATAAGTAAAATTAAATAAATATTTATTTTAAAAAAATAAAGTAGCTATCAAGTATGCCCACATTTGCAATGGTGGTATTTAATAAAACAACCTTGTTTTTCTCAATTGCTTTCTGTAATAATATTGATTATGAATTATTATTATGAATATTGATTAAGAATGATGCTGGAGCCAGCAGGTGGCATAATGATTATGTCACTGGACTCCCATATGGTTGACTGCAGTTTGAATCCTGGACCCAGAGGCTTGAAACTCACTTCAGGAGCATGTACATGTGTGGCCAAAATTCCAAGAGGTAAATGGAGAAGAAGGGATTGTGGTGTGGCCATTCCCCCTAGCAGGGTGATTTCTCACTTTTTGTTTCTCTGTCTCTCCAGCGAACGCAGGCTCCCAGCAGCAAAAATTTCTAATAAGAAGGAATTATGTCTGGGGCCAGCTGGTGGCATGGTGGTTAAAGACACTGGATTCCCACATGGCCACCTGTAGTTGGCGTCCTGGACCTGATGGCTTGAAAATTACACCATATCCATGTGCATGTGTGTCCAAAATCCCAGGAGGAGATTGGAGAAGGGACTGTGCTGTGGCCATCCCCCCAGGGGGTGATTTCTCACTTTCCCTCTCCCTATCTCTCTCTGTCTCTCTCTACCGAGTGCATGCCCTCTATGGCAAAAACCTTAATACAAAAAAAAAAAAAAAAAAGAATTATGTCTGGATGTCTGGGCCAGCCCCATGGTGCAGTCGTTAAGCGCTGTGCACTGGGAGTTGGATCCCACATGGCCGACCATGGCTCTGGTATCAGCCCCAGTGACTTGAAAAACACGCCAGGCACACATGTGTGCTCAAAATCCCAACAGGATGGAAAACCAGGAAAAAGGATTGTGGTGTGACACGCTCCATGGGAAGGTGCTCTCTCTCTCTCGCTCTCAATCTGGTAAGCATACATGCCCTCTGGTAATAAAATAAAAGTTTTAAAAATCATGTCTCTTTGCTCTCCTCCTTTACCTGAGCTCTTAGGCATGGAATTATAACTTTCCGTGTGTTTAGATGTCAAGCGTCCACAAAAAAAGGGCTCCCCAGCTAAAACACATGAGAAGCTGACAGTTGAGGTTCTCCATTCTGCCCATCAGAAGCAGGCCAAGATGGCAGGATGGTTATGGGGGAGACCCAGGCAACAGGGATGGGCAGGTGGGGAGTGCCAGGGAGCAGGGAGCAGGGAGAACCAACCCGCAGCCATTTCTCCAAGGGTGTGTCTCCATTTACAGAGGGTTTGTCCAGCCTCTGGTCATCTCTTCAGCAAACATGTCCTGATGACCCACCCTCTGTGCCAGGCTATGGGTGCCATGTTAATCTGACGACCAGAAAGCTATAACTACCAAGAGTGCCAAGTGTCAGGCCAGGGACCCTCTCTGGTCTCAGTCCCACTCCCTAAATAACCAGGCGACCACTTCTCACTGGCTGCACCCCTCCAACCCCAGCCCTGGTCTTCACTAGGCCACAGCTGCCCGTCACTGGTCTCCCTGCCCCACTTGGTCCCCTAAGTCCACTCCTTGCCGTTTTTATAGAACACTCATCAGAAAATGCACGTTCCTGTTCCACCCTCACCCTACCCCCAGCTGGGCAGTAACACCCATGCTTCAGAGAGTGCCACCCACATCCCTTCCCTCCGCCCACAGGCCCCACATCTGCCAGCCCTGATAGCCTCTGTGTCCCCTCATCCTCCAGTGACACTGGTCCAGCCTCAGGGCCTTTGCTCCTGCTGCTTTCTCTAGCTGTGGGGACTCCTCTTTCCCACATCTTCAAAACAGCTGCTGTTTCCTGTGATTCAGATGTCCCATAAGTGGCACCAATGCCCAAGAACCTGCCAACACCAGGGCTTCTTGGAAGGAAGACTGCAAAGCTGGGGCCACAGGGTGACAGGAGCAGCCCTGGACTGAGTCATGCACACGGCTTGAATGTGGCACCATGTGCATATTCAACACATTGTTTATTAAAACAAGAATCTCAGGACCAGCAGTTAGTGTAATGGCTATGTCGCTGGATTCCCACGTAGTCGACCGCGGTTCGCGTCCCGGACCCAGTGGCTTAAAACTCACGTCGGGCGCATGTGCATGCATGCCCAAGATCCCGAGAGGAGAATGAAGGAGAAGGGATTGCGGCATGGCCATCCCCCCTGGGGGGGGATTTTTAGCCTGTCTCTCTG